CAAAAAAATATACGTATTTTGGAAATGTTGAGTCGAATTAGTCTAGAATCGATTAATTTTATGAAAGAAAACCTTTCAAACAGCCGTAGTCCGTAAACTATGATTCCTACAAAATTGATTCATAAAGAACGGAACGTATCTACCGTCTTATAGGGGGATCTACTGTACTTTCATTTCTACAATATAAAAGTAATCAATTAAACTTTGATAATCTGAACCAGTTTCAACAATTAATTTTGATCAAATATTCCTTGGAAAGTCTTTAAAATATTTAATTTTATTTTGTTAAACAAGTCTAACAGTTTTCTAAAAAGAATAAAATTCTACTTCATTTTTATTAAAAGAAATAGTGAATTTATTTTATAAAAACACATTCAGAACAAAGAACACAAAACTAAAAAATATAAATCTAATATTTTTGTTGACAAATTTTAATTTAAACAAACTACAAAATTTGATTATATAAGTTAATTGATTTTTGGGCCACTATTTTTTTTAATAAAAATGAAGTAGACTTATTCTTTTTAGAAAACTGAGGTGCAATTTCATATAATGATGAGTAACAAAATGATTAAACTAGTGATTCTCAAAGCATGATGTACAAACTCACCTAGCCATTTTCTGTTTAATCAGAGGAAAGAATATTGTAGTCATTAGGTTAATGAATAAAAATATTTATGGCACACAAGGTGATTTTTTCAGGATAAGAAGTGGATGAAGACAATGATAGTCTGCCATATCTGTGCCTTGGTTTAAGTGGACTGCAAACCAGGGCTGTGGAGTCGGAATCGGGAGGAATTTTTGGCCGGAGGAGTCGGAAAAAATGTGTCGACTCCAACTCCCGCATTTTAAATTTACTTTAGTTTTTTTATTTAAATGAAAGAAAATTTATTTTATATTTATTAATTTAAATGTATTTTTATTGATTTTTAAAATGTTTTGTATTTTGTTATAATTCATTTATTTTAAATATAAAATGCAGCAATTTAATTTATTAAATATGTAGTTTTTTATTAACTACAAGAGCAGTTTTTTCAAGCTCAGATGGTCCATAAAACAAAGACAAGTGTAACTAACAAAATGAATTTATTACCAAAAGTTAGGTACAAACATTGTTATTTTTCAACATAATCACCATGAAGATTGAGGCATTTGTCATATCTGTGGATGAGTTTTTCCATCCCGTTGTCTTAGAATGTCACCGCCAGTGAATTGAGAGGGCCTTAACAACGTTGTTTTGAAAATCATCATTAATTCATTAGTCTCAAACCACTGCCCTGCTAGCAACGTTTTCAGTTCACGAAAGAGGTGGAGTCTTCAACACCTTTAAACACCCAGTGTATAGCCCCGAGCGACTTCCATCTCTTTCTCAAACAGGAAAAGTGGCTAGCAGGGCAGAGATTCGAGACTAATGACAATCTTCAAAACAGGGTTAAGGTCCATCTCGAGTCATTAGCGGCAAAATTCTATGGCAAGGGAATGAAAAAGCTTGTCCACAGATATAACAAATTCCTCAAATTTCATGGTGATTATGTCGAAAAGTAACCATGTCTGTACCTAACTTTTGGTAATAAATTCATTTTGTTATTTACACTTGTCTTTTTTTTTATGGACCATTGAAGCTTGAAAAACAGCCTATGCATAAAAGTATTTGGGTAAATGCCCGGAGCTCCTTTTAGAGTTCAGAATAAGATACCTCTTATGAACACATCTGCCCCCCCATAAAATGACTTGGTATTTAATTTTGCCAGAGTTGGGAGTCAAAGTCGGCCTACTAAAATTACCAGGAGTCGGAATCGAGTGTTTTTTACCAACTCTGCAGCCCTGCTGCAAACCATAATTTTGAGAACCAGTGATCTAAATAATCATATGTTACTTACTGTATCACTGCATAAAATTGCATTTGAGAGTTGACAATGCCCAGTACATATAGATAATGAACAATTCTGATGCTTCAACAATCCAAAATGTAATGAAGTACATCAAAATTTTGGTGTTATCCAGTTTCAATCATTGCTAGAGCAATTACTAATTTTGTTTCGAATGCATCATTTTTAGAAATGTTCTCTCATGTCTTACTATGGAACAGATTAACATATAAAATGAGAAACATCTTATATCATCAAGCTTGTGAGATTTTTCAAACAAATTCCTCTATAATCATGCAAGTCATGTTGGATTATGCATACTTTTAATTACTTTTCTGCATTATATTAATTCATTTTGATTAAATATTCTGTTTTCTTATTTGCCAGCTTTAGAATCTAACTTTTTGGTTTTATATTGCTAAATTTTATTAGAAGACTAAAAATTTTATCAGTTCTACCTCGAGTTCTTTGTAACTACAGTGCACTCTTGCTAATCCAAACCAAGTTTCATTCATTCTTCCATTTAATGTTCCTGTCAAAAACAAAAAGATGAGTGATTAAATTTTAAAAACATGTCAAATTTGTCCACAGTTCCTTTTTGTCTCTCGCTTTTAAGACTCCATATAATAATCAGTTTGGATTAGCAAGAGTTCACTTCATTCTACTTGTATTTTTAGCATTTCTTAAAGATCTTGGTTGTAAAGATGAAAATGAATAGTCTGAAAGTATTTAGGAGATTTAGGACTTTAAAAAAGTTATCATAGCTATTATTGATATTCATTTAACAGTCTACAGAAAAATTTGGTGGTTACTAACTCATATATTTTTGTTCTTATTATAAACAATGCTTTTTTACAATACCTCATTTTATTATGAGGTATTGTAAATAAATATTTGATACTGTATGTTCCCACAAACAAACTTGAAAGAGTGCGATATCATCAGATGGGAGAAACTTTAATATTCTTTCTTTTTAAAATTAAGATTCAAAGCAACTTAGTTTTACTGTATTAATGCTTTGTTTAGACATTTTAAATTAATTTAAAACTAGTAACAAAATAAATTAGGTAGAAACATTAATAGAAATGCTATTGGCAATGGAAAGAAATATTAAATACATAATTGATTACTGTTACAACGAAATAAAATTAAAAGAATGTTTATATTCTGTTAATCAAGTTACTAATAACTACAGTACCACAAATTAATTTAATACGCTGTGTGAGATCTGAGGGATCATTTAATTAATATAAAATATTTCAATGTATAAAATATAAAGGAGAAACGTTTAGCAAGAAAGAATGTAACATCCGTCATTTTCGGAAAGAAGGGAAGTTAAACTTCCTTTTAGACGGGCGACTGGCTGATGAATTAGTAGCGACCTTTTGCACATGCTGCTGGGCTGTCTGAAAGAGCCGCTATAAAAAGGGGTTTTTCCTGCCATTCCAGGTAGTCTATCAAAAGAAAGATTGCCATAAAAACTATGCATGGTTCCCGATGCTTAGTTTTTTTTAGGACATGCCATGTAATAGTTGCAGAGTCCCGAGCTAGTACTTATCTTCAGAGATAAGTACTAGCCACCTAAGTGTCAATCTCTGTATGAACTATAGATCAGCTCTCATAATATTGAAGATCCCATGATATTAGAAGATAAAGTCACAGAACAAAGCTAATGAACTTTCTTGACGCTGTCAACAAAATGACATCGTTCCATTACAAGATATCTACGAAGTCTGTTAAGGTAGTATAACCTTAGAATCCATGTAAACTCTCTCACGCAAGTTAGGAGCTTTAGGTTAATTTAAACTTTTAATCCTTTTTTTATTCCATTTGTTTCATTAAATATTTTTGTTATGTTTAAATATGGCCTCATTCATGACTCAAATCCACTCAACCAGCCACTCCACTTATTCATGTCCCTCCCACTCGAGATTCCTCGCAATCACGACAGTCCGCAAACTAGACTATCTGGTGCCAGGAAAAGCAAACCTGCAGGAGTTCATACGAATCTCTGCTCATCAACAAAGTTTAAGGAAGCCATTCTTTTAGATGACTGTGGGCCTGTTTGCAACAGGACAGCCAATTAAGCAGTACACAAGTTTTATAAACTCCATATCCCAGGCTAGCCCCTCACACCCTGTCTACTAAAATGATACTAGAAACATCTAACAATCACTTGAGACTCACATCATCAGATCCCTTTATCACAGGAGTACAAACAGTATTAAAATCATTTATAAATCACATACTTAGTTTTAAAGTGTCCTTTCGTTAAGCTTATATTTGATGTTATAATCTTTCAGTAAAAAAGATAGTTTATTTGAATAAATATTTTGAAAATATCAAATTAAAGTTATAACAATGATGGAGAAAATATTTTAAAATACCACAAAAACATCTCAAAATAGTTTACCAAAGGATCTTCTGAATACATTAATTTCCGGTCGTCGAGAGTAAACCACCGTTTTCTGTACGCATTTCCTGTTCTTGGACCTGTCTTCCATAACCATCCTTCTTTTGTAAAATCTCTCGTAAGACGATGAATTAATTCTTCGTCATTAATTCCAGGAAATGCTATTTGAAGATGATTCAGTTTTGCTGATCTAATTGCCATGTACCAATCAACAATTTCCTATATTAAATTCATAATTTAATAGAAGACTTTATGTTTTTAATTATTTTTATTAGTATTTTGCTGAGGTTACAAAAACAAAAAAAAAAATAGCAATAGTAATAAAAAATTATATAAACAAACATTTATAAAATAAAATTAATAAATTAGATTAATTGTCCTCAGTAATTACAATTAGTTTATGCTTCTAACACATAGTATTATACAAATATTACACACAAAATAGTGGAATTAGTATGGGGTCCGTAATAGGACCGAAACTAGCAGAGATCATAATGATAGATATAGACAAAGAGATAACTGACATATATGGTATAAAGTTCTACAGAAGATACGTAGACGATGTCCTAATAATATATGATGAAGTTGAAATTAACACTAATGAAATCAGAAAAATAATAAATAATATCCATAAAAATATTCAATTTAAAATAGAAGAAGAAGATAAAATTACCAACAGCATAAATTATTTAGATATTACAATTAAAAGAAATAATACAAATCTCGAATTTGAACCGTTTAAAAAGCAGTGCTCAATAAATACCACAGTTAACTATAATTCTAACATACCACTTCATATAAAACAAAACATATTTAATATGGAATACACTAAAATCAAAAATAGAACTAGTATAAATACTAAACAAATCGAACATTTAAATACACTAAAGAAAAAATTTATTCTTTCAGGATACCCAAACAGAATCCTTAATATTTGGGAAAAAGAAATAGATAAAAAAACAGATAAAACAATAAGAATAGATCCTAAACAAGCCGAAATAAAATACATTCGTTT